AAAAAAATGTTTATTAATTATTATTTTTTATATTAAAATTATTTTATTTATGTGGATATTTATGATTTAATAATACAAGGAAATCATTAGATATGATTCATGTAATAGCATACTATAAAATTAAATTCGTTAATACACGAATTTAATTTAGGCACGAGCGAGCTTGCGAGCGAGTGCTTAAATTAATGAGTGTATAGAAAAGTTTATAAACGAGGTGCATACTATACTTTTTCTTAGACAGATACTTATTATTAACTTAAAATGATTTAAATCAAAAGTTGTATAGAGCGCCATCTATGAAACAATAGGGGAATCTGTGTCACCTTCAAATGTCAAATTTTTTTATTTTATAAACACAGATTATAAAGGTTATAAATCGAAATGTATTTCTTGAAAATTGACAGTTTTTCACAGTGAAAGTAGGAAATGTTTTATGAATTTAAGTTATAGTTTACTGCCGGCGAAATTAAAAGGTCAGTACAATGTTCATATAAACTTTTCAAATATTGGCGTTGAGAAACTATTTAATACTTTTGTATTTTTGTATTAAGATAATAAAATAATTTTCACATTAAGTATTATTTTACAAGAAAGGCACTTTATTTTAACGATAGTATGACATTTAACAACTGTCAACTAACTTAAAACTAACTTCAGCCCGTGACTAAAGCGCCATAAAGCCACAACTTGTCAATGTGTATTTAAAAGGTCACTTAGTGTCATGGAAACATGTATGATAAAGGGCGTTTTAAAGGTGGGAGTAGAAAAAAAAATTTAATACAACAAGAAATTTTTAGATACCATTGTACCCCTTTTAACAACATAACATTAAAGAGCTGCCCACTTACTTAACATTTTGGCCAACCCATTAATTTGCTTAAATTAAATTGGTATTACCCAACAATGGTTTTTGATGGGTGAATAAACTTCTTCTCCATCTAATGCTTTGCTCACGCAAATGATTATATGATTGGTAATTTTTTGTGTGTTTTTTTTAGGTAATTTATTTATAAAAGATTTTTTAGCAGTTAAATTGCTAGAACATGGGCGTAAGGATTATTTGTTTGGGAAAACAATTAAGAGATTCATCCTACACGAAATTTAACTATATACCTATTACCTTTAATTGTTTCATTAAATATTTATGTATAGGTACAAACAATGCATTCACTTCTAGCAAAAACGAAACCTAAATTATAAAAAACAATTGCTCACTTCGAGCTGTGTTTTATGTATTTTCACTTGTTTTTCTTGAGTAATAAAGAGTAACTTTTTACATACCTACTATAAAATTGATTGTTCTTTTGAAACAATAAGCCATTTAGATAGTTTTAACAGTTGTTTTCAGACATTTGCATAGGTGAAAACAAATATTTTTACATTTAGGTAAAAAATTATTTAAACTCATTTAATTCAATGTATAAAAAATATAAATTTATCTTGGTACTTAAGTATAAATAAAATTTCCAATACAACGTAAATCTATTCATTTACTAGTGTACTTATGTGGGTAGCCAATACATCATTTGATGTCATACGTTTAAACCATATAAGCGCGATTTTTTGCAAATCCTCATAATTTATTTTCACCACCATTTCACCATAAACGATATATCGAGTAGCAATGCATCGAGATGCCTATGCAAAAAATGTTTACAGTGAAAGTTATGTGAACCTCTCCGAATAAGTGCAGGAGATTTCTGGAAAACGCCGTTTTATTGTATTTTTATCCGTTTTTGAACATGATTGGTTTGACTTGTCATTGGTAATGACTGAATAAAAATCGGACGTGTTTCATGCAGAAAAAGCAATTAGAAAGGATGAGAAATGTATTTACAATATTTTTCATCTTATAAGAGAATATGCTGGATGAATTTGGTTTGTCTTTTGTCTCAAACAATCCACTTAGCTTAGATTTTTATTATTTTTAAATAAATGCTAGGAAATAGGAAAACTTAATACCTATTAAATAATTTTTAATATTATTTTTAAATAAATGCTAGGAAATAGGAAAACTTAATACCTATTAAACAATTTTTAATATTAATATTATTAGTAATAATGTATTCTATGTGCTTCATTTTCTATAAAAAGAGAAAATGCGGTAAATAATGGGCATTTGCAAGTATAACTACCAACTTTAAAGCTATACAATGCAATTTTCCGGTTCCCATGAATTAAAAAACCGCAGTTCCATACCTATACGTCGCATGTCTTTTTCACCATAGAAAGCTTTTTATTTACGATACATTTATTTATCGTGTAGTACATATAAAGGCAATTGTTTCCTACTCCGGAGCATGACTGGTTTTTATTTTCGTTTCGATTATTGTCATTTAGGAATTAAGGTTATTAGGTCCCACATTTTCGATTTTAAATTAAACGTTAATGGTACATTATGTATCAACTTTGATAAACGCCATTTTAGTTACGATGTTTAATTATGGACGAGGGAAGCTTGCGAGAGAGAGGTTAATAGGAATGTGTCTAAAAAAGTATACTATACTTTTTTTACGGCAAAAATGGAGTGAAGAATCAATCAAGAAACTATTTAATAATTTTACATTGTGATAATAAAATATTTTCCACATTTTAGTGTCATGTAGGATAATGTGCATTTTATTAATAAACCTTAGAAATCAATTGATTTGTTAAAGATATGACAGTTGGTGTAATTTTTAATATAAGAATCTGCGACTGATTCTAATTTTACGAATAGCTTTTAGCAATTATAAATTAAATTGTCATTATGAAGGGGTAATAATAATTATTTAACCATATGTTAGAAAGTAGGATTTTTTTAGATAAATTGATAGATGTTTAAATAAATCACGCAAAAATTATAAATAAAATAAAAATTATTGCAATAGAAATCACTTTTTTTAACATAAATAAAATATGATTTATAAACTTTTTTGCAAAATAAAGAATTTTTTGTGTTAAATTAATTAATTATAATATTTTAAAGTACCTACGTTTTTTAATAAATTGGTTATAAAAATCCCAACCAAGTAAGAAAAAACCACGTTTGAAAAATAAAAATTATTTTTAGATTAATTGATATATGTTTAAATAAATCACGCAAAAATTATAAATAAAATAAAAATTATTGAAAATGAAAATCACTTTTTTTAACATAAATAAAATATAATTTATAAACTTTTTTGCAATATAAAGAATTTGTAGTGTTAAATTAATTAATTATAATATTTTTTCTACTCCCACCTTTAAAACTCCCTTTATCATACATGTTTCCATGACACTAAGTGACCTTTTAAATACACATTGACAAGTTGTGGCTTTATGGCGCTTTAGTCACGGGCTGAAGTTAGCAACAGGTTTTTAGTCACGGGCTGAAGTTAGTTTTAAGTTAGTTGACAGTTGTCAAATGTCATACAATCGTTAAAATAAAGTGCCTTTCTTGTAAAATAATACTAAATGTGAAAATTATTTTATTATCTTATTAAAAAAATACAAAAATATTAAATAGTTTCTCAACGCCAATGTTTGAAAAGTTTATATGAACATTGTACTGACCTTTTAATTTCGCTGGCAGTAAACTATAACTTAAATTCGGGCACGGACTCAACTGTAAAGTCCTCATAAAACATTTTCTTTACTTTCACTGTGAAAAACTGTAAATTTTCAAGAAATACATTTCGATTTATAACCTTTATAATTGTGTTTATAAAATGTAAAAATGTGACATTTGACAGTGACACACAGTTTCCCCTATTGTTTCATAGATGGCGCTCTATACAAATTTTTGATTTAGATCATTTTAAGATAATAATAAGGATTTGTCGTAGAAAAAGTATAGTATGCACCTCGTTTATAAACTTTTCTATACACTCATTAATTTAAGCACTCGCTCGCAAGCTCGCTCGTGCATAAAATGGCGTTGATCAAACTTGATACATAATATACTATTAAAGTACCTACATTTTTTTATAAATTGGATATAAAAATCCCAACCAAGTAAGAAAAAACCTCGTTTGAAAAAAAAATTGAACAAATTATGAGTTTTTCCCACTTTTTTAGGATTTGTTCTGATTTTTTAAATTAAAAGTGGTCGGGGCTCAGGTTAAAAATTAATTAAAAAATCTGAATTTTTGGGAGTACCTTCAGGATATAAAAAAGTTTTCCCACTTTTTTAGGATTCTATTATTCTATTATTTTTTTTAGGTGGTCGGGGCTTAGGATAGAAGAAGAAACCTGGTTTCAATTTTTTTTTAATTATGAGTTCTTCCTTTTTTATTTCATTTCATTTAAGCACTCGCTCGTGCCTAAATTATATTCGTGTCTAAAATGGCGTTTATCAAACTGGATACATAATAAACTATTAGAAACATCTTGGTACTGCTCCTTTTCAAAACCGTTTAAAGCTATGTTATTATAGCATGAACCAATGAAAAATTTAATATTATTGCAATAAAATTAAATTTTTCATACCATGGTATTAATCGATGATAAATAATCCAATTTTACTATAACCAAACACTGAATTGATTTCTTGTTTTAAACCTTTAGTATATGCACTTGACAAGGATTTTCTTGAATTTTTAATGGAAACTTTAAATTAGTCGATCTATCTTTTTTTTGTTCCTAATCTATCTAAAACCTTATTTGTTGTTATAACTTATGTAGTGTAAAACTCTGGATCCTTTAAAAAAAAGTTCAGAAAGAAATATAATTGGGAAAAACTAGTAGATTACTCGTTTTTCTATGTACAATTTTTAATAATGAAAGACAGAAAATATTGTTATTTCAATATTAAATATTTTTTGTTTACAATTAAATCCTTAAAACCTCTTTTACAATAATAAATATTTTTTATAACTCAGTTACCCGAGTAATTACCTTTGAATTAAATTACTAAACCTCATTGTAAACAGTCCCCCTATCGTGACCTTGAAAAGTGCAGTAGTCGTTATTTCTCAAAACCCCCAGTGACTAACCCAATAATAAAGACACCGGACAGTCTGGCCTGCCCCACCCTTTTCAAATCTCACCTTTGCTTTGCTTTTCAACTGTTGAAATTCAACGGCCCTTTATTCGCTCCGCAACTGCAACACAGGTAGCCGCAAGGCACCTAAACAGGGCCGCTTCGAAGCGACTGGCGCGCCATTTTTTCGACCTGGTGGACGGCGGTTTCGAACGCGATGCAGGGACCCCACTTTCCAACGCCGACAGTCGATTGTTTCGTGAGTCGTGACGATGTAGTGGAAGGTAACAGGTGTTCGAGACCGTAGTTTTGCCGAATTTGTTGATAAGTTTTTCCAACACTAACTTTTTTGATTGGTGCAGTTTTTAGTGTAACCTGTGGAGTTATTTATGATGTAAATTTACTGTTTCCTATGGTGCTGGTGTTTGTTGTTTGGATATACTACTCTTCTTAATTTAGGTAAGGGATAATTTTAATATGCCTTACTTAAATTATTTTTAGTCAAAACATACTTCCTTATCTAATCTATTTTATTTACGACTGCAGTTTTATTTTATATGTACACGTGTAAATTGCATTTAGGTTAGTTTTTCTAATAAAATATTTTAATCAATGATATTAAAACTAAATATTTATTAACGTTGTTTACAGAGAAACTGAATTATTGTTAAAAAACGACATCTAGTTAAAAGTTGTTTATGGTACTTTAACCGCAATAAATATTAGTTATATTCAAATAAGGTTACTATGTTTACTAATTCAATTTAAGAACAAATAATTACCAATTATATTCATCAAATTTCGAAAACCACCAAACTGTTGATAATTGCTGCGGAAATTAAAATTCAAGAGTTATACCCAATTATGCTTTATAATAAAACGATGGAAGTGCTTTTTTACATTTTTACTTGTTGATAATTTATTAATTTGGATGTTACAGAATATTTTACACCATTTATTTTTTGACACCATTATTTCGTTGTTGATACTGCAAAATATAGTATTTGAAAAATAAAACAAAAAATATAGTAAAAAATGTCCAGGCTGATACATAATACAGGTACCTAATATTAACTACCTATTTATATCCTTGTTAGAAAACAATTATAAAGGCAAAAATGATTAACCGATTGTACCTATTTAGTTTATTCAATAAATACAACATACCTATGTACATACATACCTACCATTTCCTGTTGTATAGGTACTAAATAAACATAATCAGTTCAATATAAATAAAACTTATCCAGATGTTAAAAAAATTATTTATTGATTCAAACACCTGCTAACCGGTACATGCTATAACTTATTACTACTAACAGAAACAAGTTTTTTTTATGTCAATGTTGGTTCGGTAATCTTTTTTGGCTCTTTTGTGTGTCGAGGTATATTATCCCATGTCATATAATCCATGGAAACTAGTCTAAAAGTAACGGTTGCCATGCATTTTGTGAGAATGTTTATTACAAGAGATTATAACTTGTACTTGTACCATTTTTTCCAACAAAATTGTTGTGATCATTAAAAGTAATAAAAAAGTCTTATTTGTATAATTAGGCGTGACTTGGATTTTTAAAAACTAAACTATTGATGGGAGATTCAATTAAAATTTTGTATTACTTTTTATTTTCTTCAAATTTATTGGATAAGGCTTATTAAAAAAAATGCATATAGTTCTAAAAACCGCGTAATTTAATAGTACATTCTGTAACAAGTTTGGAATACAGCATATTCCGCTCGAGGAAAAGTTTGACACACGAGCCGAAGGCGAGTGTGACGGTTTTACGAGAGTGGAATGTGCTATTCCAAACGTGTTTCAGACATTATTTTCTGTACGACTACGTAAGAATAGTAACGCTTATATAATTTTATACAGAGAAAAGAAACCAAGCAGTTTTTTACATTTAAGTTTTTTGTATTGTCAAACCATTTTGTGCCGTCACAATTTTATAATGTAAATTATAATAAATTTAAACAAATGGTATGCCTAAATCTTTATTATAATTAAAAATAGTTATTTACACTTACTAATTTTACAAGTAATCTATGTCAACATCTATTCTTTTTCTACATTTTAAAGGTCTTTTTTTAAACTTTTTGAATCTGTCAAAACTTCAAAGCCGGTATAGTAGGTAACTGGTTTATCATTTTAATATCAAATTTATTATAATTTTGATTTGTATATTTGAAAAACAATAAATATAACTAATTTTTTGTGCCTAAACCTTAATTATACAACTGCTATTATTTTTTAATTAAATTAATACAGTAATATTTAAATATTTTCAAATTTTTTACGTTTAGTAAACAGCCAGGAGATGTCGTTACTTGTGACCATTCTTAAACAAGAGTAGGAATATTCTCGCACAGTATTGCAGAAAAACATCCTTTCTATGATCAAAAATTACACTAGAATGTTACTATTCTTAAGTAGTCGTAGAGAAACTAGTTTTTAGACCTTAAACTCAATAATTGGTTTTTAGAATCATAAGTCATTTACTTATATGAAACAAAATCTTCTACTATTCATGTAGGGAAAGCAGAAGAAAAAGATTTAAAAAACATTTAATTATTCCTATATGGGAAATTTTTAAACTAGAAATTGAAATTAAGAGTTGGTATTTTTACAGAATTTTTATTTAAGCATCTATGCTATACCTATAGGTAATCTAAGAATTTTACATGTTTTATCGAATAAAAATATTATCGACTGTTTTGGCACATCTTCATTATTCATTTTACGACAAAAACTCATTCTTTATAAAAAATTCTGCTTGTTAAAAAAAATAATTTACATTATAATAATTTAATAAATTATGAAAATATCAAAATGCTTCAAGCTTGCAACAAAAATTTTATGAATCAATGTATAGTATGTATCAAGTTTGATAAACGCCATTTTAGTCACGAATTTTAATTAGGCTTGAGCAAGTGTTTAATTAAATAAGTGTCTAGAAAAGCTAATAAACTAGTTGCATACTATACTTTTTCATTTAAATTACATGTATAATATATTATTCATTTTACTTTATATATTATCATCTAATTTGGAGTTTTATTTTTATTTAAGTATACCTACACTAGGGATTAATCACTTTATCACCAAATTAGTATTTAAATTATACTGCATGTATATTACAACTGTAATAAAATGTATATCTAAATAGATAAAAGATAAATAGGTAGATTTAGATAACAAATTTTATCATAATTTTTGACGATTACAAATTAAAACAAAAAACTAATACGCAAAATATACTTAACATTTTTTTCAAATTCTTCACTTTGATTACCGATTAACGATTTTTTGCCAAATATCAACTCTCTAAAAATGAATTAGTCAAAAATGACTAATTACTACAGTTATTACTAATAACTTATTAGTGGCTGATTTTCACTTATGCCATGGTATACCATGGGATAGCATGGTATCCCCGATATAATAGCCAGTTCTTATGTAAAATTGTCCTCGTAATTCGAAAATGTCAAAAGTTTTAAAAGTAAAACATTTTTTGAGATATAGTCAATTTTCCATGTAATATGGAATTGACTATATCTCAAAAACTGCTCTACTTTTATAATTTTTTACAGTATTTTCGGATTCAGGGGATAATTTTACATAAGAATTGGATTATATCGGGGATACCATGCTATCCCATGGTATACCATAAGTGAAAAGCAGCCACTAATAAATGTAGTAATTAGTCATTTTTGACTAATTAATTTTTAGAGAAAACAATAATGTTCTGTGGAATTGCGTTTGTAACAGAATAATCCAAAACAAACTTTTAAAATTATTCTGGTTATTTGAATAAATGTAAATATAAATTCTTGGCCAGCTTACAGACGTGATTTAGTATTGTAGATGATTAATAAAAAATCCATTTAAAATTGTTATTTCTATAAAGTTATAAAGTAGCAAAGAATATATGAGTGAATAACACAATATTATTCTGCTAGAAGCAACTTTCAAGGTAAATTTAATAGTAAATGTTAATTAAGAAATAATTATTTAACTAGAGCGCTTTTATTTTTTATATAAAAATTATTGCAATTATAACTACGTTTTATTTACATTAATGTTTTAAAACTAATGTGCTTTTATTAATTATATTTTGCTTCTACAAATCTACTAAGTATTTTAGAATGTTGCCACCACTTTTTTAATTCGGAACCAAATAAATGTATTTGCTTAAAAAAATTCCAAGAAAATAAAAAACCTGCTTAAGGATTTGTGGCCTACTTTATTGTGTAAATATTTAGAATACATTTATTTTAATATTTGCTCGGTGTTTAAACATGATTTTCTGAGTTGATAATAACTGTATAAATGACCAGACACCATTCAAAAGTTAATTCGTTGGTTTTTTAAATTTAATTTGCACAAAAAAACTGTATAAATATTAAAACCAGAATTAATTTGTTTTTTATATATAATTTTCATTCTGGTTTCTATTTGTTTGCTATTTTGCGTCATGATTTAAATGACAAATAAAATAATTTACAAAAGTGCACAATTTTTGAATAATTAAACAACTAAATTTCTTGTTAACAAGTTTATTTTAAAAGGGTCACACTGTACTACTTCCTAGAGAACTTCTCCATTGCGAATAGCGAAAGATTTTAGTTAAATAACTTAGATAAAAGGTTTAAATAAATGTGCATAAATAAATTCTGCTTACGCAATACAGAAAACGTATATGTCCCTATATTGCAGTAAATTATGTAAACTTGGACAAATACCATTCAAAGCATTTGATTTTATCAATTAAATGCAAAATATATATTATTGTTATTTTTGTTTACTCGAATATTCGAACTTTTTTGTGGTTTTTCAATGACTTGATGTTAACCATAAGAATTGACGGTATATCAACCATTAAATAAATAACAACTAACTTTGGTTAGAAAGTATTATCATGTAATTTTTTTTTATAGGCAACGGTAACTTTATAGTACAATAACATGTACCTACCACTATATCTATATTTAATATTCTTAAAACCGTCTAAACGGTTTTACATCTAGGGTTGTTAGGTTTAGCACGGTGTGTCTGAACGAAGTCACATAAAAATGCCGCCAAAAATCATAAATTTTCAAAAAATTTCGAAAAGAGGAGCAGTTAGGATTTTGGTAAATATCATTTTTAAGTCACCAAAGGGTGCCGAACAAAAAACTGCAATCAATAAAAATCGGTGTACAGATGTGTACTCTGGCAAAGGTAGACTTTGTGATAAACAAATAATTAATAAAAAAATGATTTTTTAACAAATTAAAAAAAGCAGTTAGAATTTTGGTAAATATTGTTTTTAAATCTCAAAAAACTTTAACCAGTTTTTCGTTCAATATTTAAATCTACTAAAAAGCCTAAATTAAACAACATTTTAAATATTGTAGCGAGTACCGCTCTGGATATCGGAGTGATGACTCATCGCCGGTTAGTCATCGCCGATGAGTCA